TTTGAAAATGAGTATCGTATCCGAATACAACATTTTAGTATCGATACCTTTTTGAGTATCGATACTTTTGACAACCCTACCAAAATGTCCAAAAATTGGCGTGTTATTATTAGCCATAAGCCGCAGCTAGCAATTCAAAGCTAAATGAGACATAAACATTGAATTGAATTGAATTGAATTGAATATACTTTATTGATCTCCAGGGAGAAATTGACATAAACATGTTGGTATCGGTACTTTTGAAAATGAGTATCGTATCCGAATACAACATTTTGGTACCAATATTTTTTTTATTTTCTTTTGAGTATCGATACTTTTGACAACCCTACAAGGAGGTCATTTAACGGTTCACTATTCATCTTAGCTGAGCAGATTTGGTGCGTTTGAGTGTCTCTATCTGAGCGGATCACATGACCTCCCTTTCTTCCCTTTCAGGGCGGGACCGTCATCGGGAGCGCGCGGTGTAAGGAGTTCCGTTCCCACGAGGGGCGCCTGAAGGCGGCGCACAACCTGGTGCAGCACGGCATCAGCAACCTGTGCGTGATCGGGGGCGACGGCAGCCTGACGGGGGCCAACCTGTTCCGGGAGGAGTGGAGCGGGCTGCTGAACGAGCTGCAGGAGCAGGGTGAGCCCCCAAAACAAGCTCCAGAAAACAAAAAACTCCACTCAACTTTATTTATAAAGCGCTTTCAGTCAGCCAAAGCTAAAATCAAAGCGCCGTACAGGCCATTTGAGCAGATCATAAAACACAATTATCACCTCAACACAAGACAAACTCAAAGATTAACTCATTCGCTGCCAAAGACGTCTATAGACGTCTTTTATGTTTTTCAATGCGAGTGGCTTTGGGGAACGATCGGCTAAAGTTTTTCCGTAAATATCGGCTTCCAGACAGAGTATGTAGTAACAAATTGACCCTCTAGGGGGCAGTGCCACTTTTGATGGGAGATGAGCATATACTGTAGGCAAATAAAAACAAACGCAATGGTTCGCTATGCGAGAAATGGCGCCAGTGAGACGCATGTCGAAGAAGAACGGAATAAGGTAGAAACAAAAAAATTGTTCCTGATGAAAGAAGAGAGTCTACTCTTTCTTTTGGTGTGTTCGGTGTTTACATAGTCATAGCACAAACTATTCTGTGGCTCTTGAAATATCAGTCAAAATGCTCAAAAAACTCTGGCAGTATGCGACTCTCTGTTCTGAAAATGGCTGCCAGTCAATGAGTTAAGACAACTAAGATAAAGTCGAAGTCTCACTCAAAGGCCTGAGAGAAAAAGTGGGTCTTTAAAAGGGTTTTAAAAGAGCTGAGTGTAGGGGCCTGTCTGATAAAAAGGGAAAGCTCGGTCCCCTCTGAGCTTCCGCTTTGCTCCAGGTGCTTTTAGAAGGAGCTGATCGGCTGATCTAAGGGACCTAGCGGGACAGTCATTTTGTAGTAGCTCAGAGAGGTATGGTGGAGCTAGGCCATTTATTGTCTTATAAGCAAATAAAAGGATTTTGAAATTAATTCTAAAATGGACAGGGAGCCAATGAAGTGAGGCCAGGATTGGTGTTATTGTATGTGTTCCCTCTTCTTTGTCCCAGTTAACTCATTGGCTGCCAGCCATTTTCATTACAGAGAGTCCCACACTGCCAGAGGTTTTTGAGCATTTTGACTGATTTTTCAAGAGCCACAGAATAGTTTGTGCTATGACTATGTAAACACCGAACACACCAAAAGAAAGAGTAGACTCTCTTCTTTCATCAGGAAAAAAAATGTGTTTCTACCTTATTCCGTTCTTCCTGGACTTGCGTCTCACCGGCGACATGTTCTCTCATAGAACCGTTCCCTTTTTCTTATTTGCCTACAGTCTATGCTCATCTCCCATCAAAAGTGGCACTGCCCCCTAGAGGGTCAATTTGTTACTACATACTCTGTCTAGAAGCCTGATATTTACGGACAAGCTTTAGCAGATCGTCCCCCAGCCACTCTCGTTGAAAAACATAAAAGATGTCTATAGACGTCTTTGGTAGTCAGCGGTTGGATTTGAATTGACGTCTATAGACGTCTTTGGCAGCCAATGAGTTAAAAGTCGTGCTGCAGCGTTCTGTACGCACTGCAAGCGAGAGAGGGAAGACTGGCTGATTCCTATATCCTCCTGAGACCCGGCCCATTCATTTATGTCCATTATAGTGGACATTTTGTCCACCTGTACCCCCCCTAAGTATCTGGAGTTACCCTATCAAGCCCTATAGTGTTCTGTAGAGGACATCCTGGGCTTTCCAGTGATGTGAAATTTGATAGGTTTGCATGCTGGGAACTTGACTTTTTTCCCAAGAGTTCTTAGGTAAATATCCCTTTCAAGACATCTTCTTGTTTATTATTTAATTATCTAAAGCCTGTTCTATTTTCCCATGCAAATCGTCCTGTTGTCCTCCACAGTGGACATGCTATGAAATTAAAATTAAAAATATTTTTTTTTAAATTGAAATTGTAATGTTCTTTTTTAGGTCCAAATACATGGAAAATCACAACAAAAAAGACATTTGAAGACACTTTTTTTCTTTGGGTCTCAGGAGGATATACAGTGCATTACAGTGCCAGAAAGCAAAACTCACGCCGTTCGTCCGTTCGTTCGTTCGTTTCAGGTCTCATCGACGAGGAGGCGGCCCGCAGGAACTCGGAGCTCCACATCGTGGGAATGGTGGGCTCCATCGACAACGACTTCTGCGGCACGGACATGACCATCGGCACCGACTCCGCCCTGCACCGCATCATCGAGGTGGTGGACGCCATCATGACCACCGCCCAGAGGTGGGGACCAGAAACACAAGCTGTGTGCTCTGTCTGTTTTTTTTAAAGGGGACATACTATGCAAAACCAAGTTTTTAACATTTTGTAGA